CTTCACATATTTGTCTGCTTGATGATACGAAATAGATTGCATACAACGCAATCGTTTAAATTTGATGTCGACTAGGATATTATCTTTTAAAATTTCTTGCAAATATGCTTTGTAAGTTCGATAATGATTTATATAATGGAAGAAATATTGCTAAATCATTAATTGTAGTCTGTTGATTTTCAATTTCAATAATCACTTCTAATGATGTTTTAACAGATGAAAGTACAAGATGAAGATTAAATAGAAAATCATACGTTTCAGTGCGACTTAATCCATTTTCTTTAATCAATGATGCTTCTGAACCTTGTTTAAAAAAATCTAATCCATAAGTATTCAAATGGTATGTCGTATTTGTATGATCACGACAATCAATATCAACATATGGAACAATTTTTGATGATAAATCAAGATTATAAGCAAGATCCCACGAACCAATCGTTGAATTGTAATTTGACATAAAAAATGCATGCGTCAGACTAGATAGACTAGCAAATGGAGATATTGATGAATGACTATTGAATTATACATATCAACACGTTTTCGAAATTCTTTAGAAACTGGTGGTAAAAATAATTTCGAATTATATTTATATTCTCAACGTTTTGCAGTTAATTCTCCATATTCTTTATGTGTAATTAACCTAAAATATTTGATATAAGATTTAATAGTAAAACTTTTCGTTTCACTTACCATAGCATATAAGTAAACAGACAAGCAAATGTAGTCATAATTTCAATGCTATCATTAACTAGATGAAAATATCGAGTATCCATCAGATAGACAGGCAAAATATTTGCTGGTTCAAAATAATGTAAATATGTTTAAAGACTAGCTAAATCAATAATATTCCTATGACGAGCAATTAAATTCAAACGATAAAGAAAATCTAATGTAAATAAAGTATGAAGACGTGTTTGAATATCAATTAAGTTATGGTTTATTGGTGATTGTGCGATTAAAGGACATTATAATGCAATTAATGATCGATTTATTGCATCTTTAGAATCTCTTGCATTTGAATATAATTGAAGCAAACGCATGAGAAGGATGTGGGTGTGGACGTGGAGTGTGGCTGTCTAATGAACAACACCTCACACACCCGTACTCTCAAACTTGATGATCTTCAAAGAAACATAGTCAAATCGAATAGATCCACAGGAACTAACAAGACCAACTATTTGTCGATCAAAAGTTATACATGTCTGTAGAACAAAGAAGGTTTTCCAACAGTATCGGGGTTCAAAGAGAAAGTAACGACACATGATTTATTCACTTTTAGATACATATGAGTTCCACTCTATGAATTGATAGTAACATATTCACATTCAATGACTGAATTTTCGTCTTAATTTCAAAGAACAAATAGGTCAGTCAGTCTGTCACGGTCAATGAGATCCATTCAATATCTCTAAATGTTCTTTGGTAGACTAGAAATACACAAACTACACTTATGTCTACAAGACATATGCCATATTTGATAGGATCGAATTGTTTCACTATGCTCCTCAACGAAGAATCAATATTTTTTCTGATCTTATTGGCTTAGAACATTTGTCGAAATAGCAGAAG